CACTCACTCCACTCACTCACTCCACTCACTCACCTCACTCACTCACCTCACTCACTCACCTCACTCACTCACCTCACTCACTCACCTCACTCACTCACCTCACTCACTCACCTCACTCACTCACCTCACTCACTCACTCCACTCACTCACCTCACTCACTCACCTCACTCACTCACCTCACTCACTCACTCCACTCACTCACTCCACTCACTCACTCCACTCACTCACTCCACTCACTCACTCCACTCACTCACTCCACTCACTCACTCCACTCACTCACTCCACTCCACTCACTCACTCCACTCACTCACTCCACTCCACTCACTCACTCACTCCACTCACTCACACTCACTCACACTCACTCACACTCACTCACACTCACTCACACTCACTCACACTCACTCACACTCACTCACACTCACTCTCACTCACTCACACTCACTCTCACTCACTCTCACTCACTCTCACTCACTCTCACTCACTCTCACTCACTCTCACTCACTCTCACTCACTCACTCACTCACTCACTCCCTCACTCACTCACTCCCTCACTCACTCACTCACTCAAACTCACTCAAACTCACTCAAACTCACTCACACTCACTCACACTCACTCACACTCACTCTCACTCACTCTCACTCACTCACTCACTTCACTTCACTTCACTTCACTTCACTTCACTTCACTTCACTTCACTTCACTTCACTTCACTTCACTCACTCTCACTCACTCACTCACTCACGCACGCACGCACGCACTCAGTCACTCACTCACTCACTCACTCACTCACTCACTCTCTCACTCACTCACTCACTCACTCACTCATTCACTCACACGCACTGACTCGTTCAGTCTCACTTGCTCACTTTCCCTCCCCACTCGCTCACTCACTTGCTCACTCTCGCTTACTCTCTCTCACCCTCACTCACTCTCACTCACTCTCACACATTCCCACTCACTCTAACTCACTCGCACTCACTCACCCTGACTCACTTTCTGCGTCTTTTGGTCACTCATTCACTCACCACTCACTCCCTCTACTAACTCACTCGCACATGCTTATATGAGCCAAATGAAAGATTAAAGTTACGTTGTTTCCATGTTTGTGAGCTCAGGCAGTGTGTCTCGGTGAGAATGCTGCTCTGGTGGTTTCAGGCAGGATTGATGTTCAAGTGACCAGCGGACCGCAGTCGCCATTCGATACTCATGGAGTAGTGCCGTCCCAGTCCCAATAGCATCTACTAATGTTTTGAAACTTTTGCTTGACATGCACCTGTCCGAACTCACCTACATTGATGATCTACAGTGGTGATTCAGTGGGATGGCCCATGGTGCGTCTGGGATGTCATCAGAGCTATTGCACGAGCCGGGATCTCAGTGTGCTTAAGTTCTTTTCAAAGTTGTACATTTCAATTAGAACAGACATGTGGCAGGTCCCCGTGGATGCAGCAGCCAAGGACACCGTCACGAACCACGGAAGTACAGCATGCCGGAAGAGGCACGTAGCTCCACAGCTTGGATGAACACTTTACCGGCATCATCCGAGGTCGCAGCCACCCAATGCGACGAAGAGATTTGAGCTGTTGTTTGCTCCGCAGCAGTCAGTCGGAGACTGGTCTTGAAGCGTGTTGCTGATTTTCCTAGCTCCGCGTGCTTGGGGCAACTTGGCTGCTCACAAAGAAATTTCTCGGGTTTGGCTGCTGATTTTTTCTGCAGTTTTGTGCAACTTTAGCGCGACTTGTTGACTTGTTGGCTTCGCTGACTAGAAAAAACATATTATGGCTGTTCAGAAGCAGGGCACGGCGATGTATCAAGTCAGCTCATTCAGATTGATTGCTTATGAACTTATCATGGCTTGTTTGTTCATGCTGCGTCTGCTCAGGTCATGATGCTGGCCTATGGCACTTCGAGAACCACAACCACGCACTCACGCGCACACATGAATGAACACCTACACCTACATACTCACTTATGTACGCAGACACGCACAACATGAACACAGCATATCACACACATACATCATTCACACATACATCGCACACACACATAAACTCACTCACACACACACACCACACACATACATCATTTGCATACATACATACACATAAACTCACCCACCATCGCCTTTCCATCACTATCATACTTCCTCTTCCCCTGCTCACTCACTCACTCACTCACTCACTCACTCACTCACTCACTCACTCACTCACTCACTCACTCACTCACTCACTCACTCACTCACTCACTCACTCACATACATTCTCATTCACTCACCTGTGCATGCGCACACATACACACGTACACAAAAATTCACCCACCATCACCCCTCCATCACTCTTATACTTCCTCTCCCCTTCTTGCTTTTCTATGCTCAGTCTAAGTCTAGAGAAGTTGGTAACATGTGGGGTTATCCGGTCCTATAATTTATTTTATTTTTATGTTTTGAAAGGACCCACAGGTTACTGTAACATGCTGCAGGGCATTAATATAAAAATAATATTATGCCATTCATGTTTTTGATGAGCCACATGACAAAGTGCATGGGTCGATGCTGGGGCCATGTCAGGAAAGACATCTTCGACTACATCATATCCGAATTGGGGAGTCTTGAGCGAATGGATGAGCAAATTCGAGAGCTCATGGGTGAGATGCTGGTGAGAAATCTGGCCAACGTGGAACAGGCAACGGATGGCCTTTTACACCGTTTGGGTAGGAAGTGAGCCCCTGCCGCTCTTCACTAGATGTTCCTTGTCAGGGCAGTGCAAAAGTCGCGACCCTGTATGAAGAGCGTTTTAAAAATTGTTTCCAGAATCCGTTTTTTTTACTTCAACTCAATCAATTTGTTGATGAGACTTCTTGAGCACGCACAAGGTCGTGCCTCGTCCACTAGAGGTGACCCAAAGATTGTGTCGCTGGTTGCTCAACGGGTTCTGCAAGTTTTCGACGTAGTTTTAAAAAGGCGTGACTGGACTCGGTCATCCATTTCCAGGAATCTTCGCCTTGGGTCGTGTACCAGATGCATCAGTCAGACATATGTCGTTTTTCCGCACATTTCGAAGGATGATCCTTCTGGTCTGCGCGCGCTGGCCGGCCATCAGGCAGGAATACGTGCGGTAGATGGATGAACCAGTGGATTGGTAGTATAGAAACGGTGATTCTGCTGGTCAGAAACGATTATAAAACAAGTTAACCATGATTGGGGCGCATAGCTAAAAAAGGATGCGCAGCAAACAATTACTGGGGGTTGCAAACAACAACCATGACACAGGGACTGAACCCATTCACCCACAATGTGTGGTTTCCATAAACGCGCCATCGTCAGTTATTTGTGGGCACAGCAGATGTCCACAGAAAAAGCGGCTGGAAGATGAGTTTTCTACCATGTGTTGTTTGTTGTTTTTGCTGAGATTCACAAAAACACCAGGGGATATCAATGGAGTATATCATTAATAGTCATATGATTTTTGGGTAATTTTGATTTGCCGACAATTCCGGGGGAGTAACTGTACCATGGAGTCATCCACCGGTCATTTTGAACCACTCAGACCCAGCGCATCTTCGCTATAGGAGCTGCTCACAACAGCCACTGCAGCGTTGGTCGGAGCTGCCACTGCTACCAACAAAAAAGATGCGGCGCCCTGGAGATGGTGATGTTGTGCTTGCGAAAGGGATCTGACAATCTGACATTTAAACGTGAGGTTGAACATGTTCAAGTGACAGCAGCCTGTGTATATCCGGTGGTTATGTGGTTATGATAAGGGACAGAGTGAGCTGCTGAGACTGCATGCCCACCACATGTGCTATTGTGGCTTGAAAGTTTCTTTTGGATCTCGTGACCCAACGGATTGCTTTTGTTTTTGCGCAATGGGCCCCTTTCCGAATTCTTTTTTTGGATTCCATTTTAGAAGACCAGATTCTGTCAATAATTGCGCTTTAGATTATGTGCTTGATATCTTGCCAAAATCACAGGTAGTAACCACCATCGAACCGCTCTAAACAAATGCCTTGAAGTGTGACAAGCTCTCTAAGAACCCAGCATGACAATTTGCAGAAAGCACAGAAGAACAGCAGCCGACGGGCAGCAATGCAAAAGCGGAAGGTGGTGCAGTACTTGAGCAAGTGCCTCGTCAAAAGTAAGATGTGTGCTGACGCTGATGGCCAATACATGTCAACAATGTCACAACATTATTCCAGCATATTCCAGCAAATCAACACTTCCTGTACTGTTGTTTTTGGTGCGCTGTTTGAAATCAAGCTGACACGCATTCAGGAGGCAGAGGATCAAGTTGTTAGGTGAGTTGCCTTGTGAAACTGAGGTACATCAAGGGCTTGAATGCAGATCAAGTTTCCTCCCGCGCCTCGGCACTTGGTTGTCTTGCTTTGGAGATCGAAATCATGGTGCTTGCAAGAAAATGGTGAAGACGTAGTTGGTTGAGAACGACAAGCAGTTTGGGACTTAACATCCCTTAACTCTAGCTCATTTAACGTTCACCGTGTTTCACCAAAATGATGGTTTGAGTCGTTTAAGCCACCAACCTCCCGCACCTGAGGCCTCTTTTCCGGTGAAGTGGAACTGCGGGATGCGGAATTCGAAGTGGATCCCTTGCGGAAGTTGCTGCTAGGGACGTTGCCGTTCACTTGGGAGGTGAGTGCAAACCAGCAACAGCTTCAGATGTTGGGGTTCCCAAGTAGGAGATGACCCCGGATCAAACCGGATCAAACTGTATTTGTTGGGATGTTGACCCACATCCTGAGTTATGAAAGGTTTCTTGAGAAAAAATCTGAGTTCATTCCGTTTTCATTCCGTTTTTGTTCCCGGTCGTTGGTCCCCCGGACCGGGTGACGCGCCGGTGACGGATCGCCAGGTCCTGGCGATTTCCTGCGATCGGCTGCAGGTCCAGGTACCTTGGAGCGCCCTGCGGAGCCGTGCGGTGCAGGTGAAGGTGGGGAAGCTGCGAGTGCAGGCGGGGCGCAAAAGGATGGGATTGGATTGGATCCGGTGGATGATTCAACCTATAAAACATGGGGGGTGCCACCATGATTGAAGCCACATGGAAGAGTTTAAACAGGTAGGATTGGGTGGATTTAACTTGAATTGACCTAATTAAACCTGATTAAACTATGAACAATGAGATTAAACCTAGAAAAAAACGTGAAATCACCATGAAAAATGATGGGATTGTGTGCCACTATATAATAATAAAACATAGATATGAAGAATGAAGAGTTTTGACCTGGTCTAGGATGATGGGAAAGATGGAACGATCCCTTCAATTGACAGAAATTGGAATGGTATTTCAGAAAAGGATTGGTAGGATTGGGTGGATTCGACCAATGAAAATTGTTCAGATTTATACCCATGATTAAACCCATGAAGCAAAACCATGCCATGTTTTGTCGACCGTGATGGTGATCGGATTGTGTGCCATCAAAAATTAATGAAACTTAGGGGTTTAACCTGGTAGGATGATGGTGTAGATGGAATGGTCCCTACATTGACAGGGAATGGAATGTTATTGCTCAGCCAGAGGGGTAAAGGTGGGTAGGATGATGGCTTTCACCATGAAAATTTGGATTTGACCTGCTATTTCATCCTATTTTTTAAAACTTGTTTCAACTATTCTTATGGCATCAGATGGGCAGATGATGATGTCTGAACAAGTGATGGTTAATTGTAGTGATAACTATATTCCAACATGTAAGGGTAAGTGGTAAGTATCCTAAAATGGCAGAATGTAGTTGGACCACCGCTCATAGAAGGCCGTGGCGTTTTTGTTGTTTTTTGGTCTTTTTGCATTGGTTTTTACAGCATTTTGTGTTGTTCTCGCCGTGCCTATAGTCCGTTTTTCAAGCTTTTTTTCTCCCATTTCTCTTTTTTTTTTTTGTGCAGCAGCCACTTGCTGAACCGAGTCTCCAAGAAGACACTTGGTCCGGTTTTTTTTTTACCCCTTCCACAAAAGTTTTCTTTTCTTCCCAAGGGAGCCTTAACTGCTGAGTCAAAAAATCAGATATGCTACTCACAACGGATCTCTTCTCTAACATATCAGGTTGCGGACAATCGTTTTCGCCGATGGAAACGTGGCATGGAGGTCCGCAGCCAAATCGCTGAATCTCCCCTTCGAAAGCGTATGTCATCAGCAAAAAGTTTTCGTGAAGCCAGGGAAAAAGGTAGACATTGGAACCCAAGTCATCGACAGAACTTGGCTTGAGATGAAGACATGGCTGGGACGCAAATATCCAGTGAGCATTAGGAAAAACAAACACCGAATCAACGACCCAACACTCGACAAATTAATTTTCCAGTTTGTCTTTAGACAAAGCGTCTTACCTTTGAACCCTCAAGGATTTATGTCTCAACTCCGCAGGCTGCTGAAGTCGAATTGAGCGCCAATGGAAAAAGTGAAAGGTGCACACGGATGGTCCCCATTGGCCCTACCTTACATACCGAACATGGTGTAAGAAAAAGATGATGATGATGATGATAATGATGATGATGATGATGGTGATGATGTTGATGATGATGATGATGAAGATGGTGAAGACGGTGATGGCGGTGATCGCGATGATGCACAAAAGATGAATGGACTCCTTAGATGCGGGCTAAAAAATACAATATTTTGCTCGCAGTTACACTGGTTTCTATAATGACAATATTTTCCCCAATGGAACTATGCATGAAACATGTGAAATCAAAGACTGTCCATAAAACGCAGTGTAATTGCGTGATTCAAACAACATTGAGTCATTGAAAATCCTATTTTACACCACGGCCGATTACGCGCGGTGGACCTAGTTACCCATACCATGTTGGTATGGTGTATGTAAGGGTATCCAACCAATTAATGGAATTGTTTTAGTTCGGTGAATGTGTGTAAGTCAGCCAGATAGGCAAAGATGGGCCATTATTATACTGTCATGTTGTTATTTTACAACTACATATGATGAGAATTATATGATTATAATATATATATATATATGGTTCATGATCATTATATATGATCATTATATATATATAATAGCTGAAGTATTTCCTGCAGCCATAACCAACCATCCTTCAGGTGGCGGTCCACAGCTGCACCGACCCAGCTTGGGCGGAGTCTCTGGCGACCAGCACGGCCATTGCCAATACGCAAAAACCACAGGAGCTGGAGAAATCTCTAGGGATTCAGCACGTTTTTGTGTGAAAGTTGTCTGTTTTTGCTGCCATATCGAGGATTTTGGATCAAGCTGGTTGGTTCAATGATCTCATTATCAATATTTTCCGCGTTGGTTGGTTGTAACATGACATTTGAAGCGTTGATTTGAAGCGTTGTTTATTCAAAGGCTATCATGCGCTATTAACTTTGGTATAAACACTGTTTGTCATGTGTTCTTAAATAAAATCATTTGAATTTGTTTGTTTGAAAACTGTTGATGTTTGAGTAAACTTGATCAAGGTATTCAGCTTCCAAATCCCGCGTACTCGCTTTGGAAACCAAGATCCCCGTTTTCATCAACCATCAGAAACGATTGACATCCTGATTTGGGACTCGGAGCTATCAACCAATGGAATCAACTTTAGTAAGGACCCTGTTAATTTGTAGTGAATCATGAGTAATTGCTCTTGTTACTTCTCCCTATTATCATCGGATATAGGGAGAACATGTTTTAAGACAGAAGTCTTGTCGATCACCTGCCAAATCGTTTATCCCAATATCATCATTTATTTGCGTTGGAAACAGTGCGCTGGGAGTTCGTTCATCCATTGAGAAACGGTGTGCGGAAGGGGATCAAGGCATCTGATTTTCAACTCATGACTTTCTGTAAAGCAAGGTGTGTATGAAGTTTAATGCATGTTGTCAGTGAATTGCTTGAAACATGTCCGCTGACAGGTCTCAGTTTCAGCCCAACTCTTCAATCTATCCAGGAGAAACGAGAAGATGAAGAGCAGAAGAGTTTCAGGCTCTCAGACTCTTGGAACGAGCGTGCCGCTCTTGTCGTGTTGTCGTGTTGCGTTTGGGCAGTTGTGTCGCAGATCACCGTGCCATCACAACTTCATACTGGCTGTGTTTTTTCAACTTTATTATGATTTTCTCAAATTGATCAAACTGTTTGAGGTCTCATATGATCAGTTTGGTGGTTTTTGAAGAGATCACGGGTTTGACGCTGGTTATGCATCAAGTTTGACTCTCATCCAAGGACGTGAAAGTGGGAGTCATTGACAATTTCTGCATCTCTGTGGCTTCATTGCATGTGCTTTGTGCACATGCTGCCAGTAGTGTTTCGCAGCCGTTGTTCCTTGACTTGCTGGCAACCGGCTACGGAAAACCACCCAGCTTTCCCTGGGAAATGGTCTTTCGACGGTGGGGTGTCAATGACAAAAAACGGCCATGTCAAACATGGAGACTGGTTCTTTGGAACTCATGAACCATGGTGTGTTTGTTGGATGGGCTGCCTCAGCCCTTTCTTTCATTTTGAGATCAAGACTGCAGGCAAAAAGGACAAAGTCAGTTTGAGTTTTTAGGTTTGATCAATTTCAATGGGCTCGTGGTATGAATCTTGCCGGATAACACGTCAAAATGACGGGCCGCAACCACCATCCAGTCGACCTGAGCAACGTATCACCGTCTCTCTCCAACGCAAGCCTAGCGATTCGCAGAACATGCAACATGCACAGCAGCCGGCGGACAGCGATGCAGAAGCGGTGGTTCAGTATTTGTGTGAGTCACTCGTCAACAGGAAAGTTTGTGCTGACACTGGGGGCAAGCATCTCCTTAGGGCCCTGGTTATCATCAAAAACGCCCTCATTTTTCTTGTGTTTTACAAACGGTTGCGAGGGTCGTCCCGCGACCGGCTGCCTGAAGTTTCATTTTTAAGGGCCAACCTGCCCCTCCATGTTGCAGGGGCTCTTGTAGTTGACAGGTGGATGCTGCGCACGGCTCAATGTTTTGAAACTTCAACAGTTTAGTAGCTTTTAGCACTGCTCATGAACTTCTGGACACAACTGTGCATGCCATAGCTGGCACATAGCAACATATAGCAACGTTTTCATGCATGCTTTACCTCCTTGGCCTGAGTGCTGCATCGACCATATGAGCACAGAATCTTCAACAGGATGCATCATTCAAACTCTATATGGTTAGCACAACACAGGCATTGAACTCCCTATATGGTACTGGTGCTTGGTGGCATCCTTTACCTGCAAAAAGCTTCACGATAGGCCGCGTGACGCCATGTTAAAGTTGCTCTTTGCAACGTTTATCTTCGTTTTCTCCTTGGCTGAGCTGCGCGTCTGGAACAGGAGCACGTTCATTGGACAGCAGGGCACCTTGGCTGCTGGTTTCGGTGCTTGGTGCTGGTCCCTTAACCAAGCAGCTGAGTTCAAGCGCCTACTCCAGGGTGGGTTATTTCTTGTGAAGAGGGGTTCTCTCTACGCGCAATTGTTGAGATTGCATAGCATCTCAAAACATGCCCAGTGAAATGTGTCCTAAGTTGACCATCAAAAAAAACTGCAACTCGCAACTACAACTCCCACTAAATGTTTTTTTCGTGAAAGACTTGGTGCAGCTGGACGCCCAACAATTTTGTAGAGCTATCTTTTGGGCCTGTTGGATTGGCTCTGCGGCACTGCAAGGTAGCCACCCTGTTCCTGAAGCCACAGATGGAGCGGGTGCCAGACATTTGCAGGTGGGAGCTTTCCAATGCAATTCTTGAATTGTTTGTTGTTTACTATACACCAAATTGTCGCATTTAGCTGCCGTAAATTCCAAGCGAACCGGAGACACACATCACCCACTTGCGCGTCCCTGCTGGCAGGACTGTGAAGTGATCGGCTGGGCGGAGCTTTGTGAACGGAAAAGGCTGACGGCCGGGTCGTGCTTTCAACTTGAGTGGCTTGGTCACTGGGGGTTTGAAGCATGCGACGCTTGAGGATTGGTGGCAGGTTGCCCAAAGAAGTCATTTTGGGCGAGGGTCGTTTCGACCAGTGTAGTGACTGCACTGAACATTGGTTGTTTTTGTCTGTCATGGTTCTAAGACATGTTTACAATTTCATGCATATAACTAGGGTGCTCCGCTCAATTCCTCCCATTGAAACCCTGAGCCCCGAGAAGCCCTGCAACCGAGGCCTACGGTGGCAGCTCCACTCTGCGAGCTGCAGGGGCCCGACAAAGCGCCCGCACATTTGCGGCCAGCGGCTGCGGGGATTCTGACCTTGACATCCGGGGAGCTACGCATCACCGGGTGCCTTGGAGGAATTCTGTTTGGATATATTTGATGGTGAGGTGGGATGAGGTTGGGAGATTGGGAGGCACTCAAGTTGCGCAATCATGGACCTTGGCCATCTAGAAGTGCTTGGCAAGCTTCGTTGTTCTTCAAGAGCATCGTCCGAGTTCTCCTTCAACTGATGTTGGTTGACCTTAGAGAGATATAAATTAATCAAAATTTATAGACTAGCATAATCAGTGCAGAACCTTCGCGCAGCTCCCAAAGCAAATTCAGATGACTTCGCTCCGCCTGGCAGCCAAGAAGCCTGCTTGCACAAGGGGCTGAACTCAGCAGGTTCAAAACTATTTTTGGCTGTATATAACATATTTTCTTGTAGGGTGCTGCATAAAGAGGCGCGGAGAATGGCAAGGCAGTTCGGATTGATTATATGCAGAGTTCAGGGTGCCATTTGAGACCATAAAATTTGCATGAAGAATTCAACTGAGGATTGTGGATTTTGCAGATGCTCACGTTGAAGCGTTGCATGAAGTTCTATCCGATCCAAACTCCACCGCATCCGGTGGCGCCTTTTTTAGTGAGGGGTCATTCACTCTGACGAGGTCCCATCTGACAGCTTCTTGGATTATGTTGCTTTAGTAGCTCTTGTGTGCCAGAAATGAACTTAAATGAACTCCTGTTTTTGCAAATAGGTTTCAATCTCCGGTGTCCAACATGGAACTGCGCATGAGATTAATGGTCTTGGACCTGGACCTGGATACTTTGGTGTAGAAACTGTTGACCAGTGAACACGCTGCAGATACCCATGTGATGTGCAACATCCAACGAAGATCCAACTAAGGTGAGAGGCTCTGCGGCGGCAGATGGTGGTGGCTTTGCAGCGGGCGGAGACCTGACCCTGGGTGGCATAGCAGGGCACAGGTGTAGTTGTTGGATGCTGTTGGGGTGTGGGATGCAATGGTCCACGGTGGTATTTGAGTTTATTTGACAGTGCTGGATCCACATTAAGTATTTGCTGAGGGAATTCCATTTTACCAACATGGTGAGAATGTGTCAGCTACAAAGTTTTCATTCTGCCAGGGATGCTGGCTGTGATCAGGTGGGTTTGAGTTTTGGGTTGTCGTTTGGGCACTTCAGTAACTCGGGGTTTTGTCCGGAGATATGGATGTGTGAACTCCATGGAACATGGGATGGGGCAATGCCTCTAGGTGCAGAACTAGGGGACCATTAGATCCCTTAGGCAGGCTGACTAAGGAGCAGCACGGGACACAGTCACATCGAAATGGCCATGGATTGCAGAAGGTGATGCGTCGTCGTTTGTCGTCCATGGGAAAATGTGGAAACCGTAAAAGGTATTGCCGATCGCAGAGAGAACAAGAGCAGAGTCAACGCAGAGACGCATGTGTAAGTACGCCAAAAACATGATTGGCTTTTCTGGATTCTCGTGGCATACAAGATGCAATATTCATCAATATTCATTCTGTTGTGGTGGACGCAAAACTCCTTTGATGTTCACCTGTTCAATGCGATGAGATTCGGTCCCCAAGGAATGTGCGCCAAGACTCTGAAGTCGTGATCGAGAACGTTTCAGCCAAGTCTGGTGCTGCCTTCTTTGCCATGGAAAATGTCTACATTTCTGTGGGGCACTCAGTGCGTTCGCTGGCATGCTGGAGGGCTGTGTAAAAGGACGCAAACAGTCTCATTCGACTCATTCACAGCATTTTAAGTTCCTGTGCGCATGTATTTTTTGTGACTCCCAGGGAATGTTGCTGAAAGACATGTGTTTTTTTAATGTGTTTGTGTTCTCATCTGACCCCTGTGCGATTCCTAACCCGGCCAGGACAACTCAATGATCTTCATTCAGAATGCCAGATCCACCAAAAACGGAGGTGGCTTCTTCACCAGAAAAAGCCTGCGAGTGTCCAACAGCTCAGTTGTCAGCCTTCAGAATGCGATTGCTGGAGAGCATGGAGGAGGTTTCGATGCCAGTGGAGAGGTTGAGATAGCTGGGAATTCGACAATCAATATTTCCAACAGTCACGCTAGAAATGGTGGAGGTTTCAGCACTGGAAAGGGCTTGAAGGTCTCCAGCAGCTCAAGGCTCATCATTCGGAATGCGACTGCTGGAAGGTATGGAGGAGGATTCTGGGCCAAAGGCAAGACCTTGATCAGCAGGTCCACAGTCAGCATCGAAGATGCCACGGTGCAGCAGTCTGGTGGGGGGTTTTGCGCATCTGATGAAGTTGTCATCGATGAGATGTCAAGCGTCAGCATTTCCAGCTCAAGATCGGGAGACCAGGGCGGAGGCTTCCATACGGACGAGCGCTTGCAGGTGACCAAGAGCTCAGTTGTCAGCCTTCAGAACGTGACCGCCGGAAGTCATGGAGGTGGTTTCAATGCCATTGGAGATGTTAAGATAGCTGGGAATTCAACTGTAAACATTTCCAACAGCCGTGCTGAATCAGGAGATGGAGGAGGTTTTGACACTGAAAAGGGCTTGAAGGTCTTCAACGGCTCAAGGCTCACCATTCGGAATGCGACTGCTGGAAGGCATGGAGGAGGATTCTATGCCAAAGGCAAGACCTTGATCAGCAGGTCCACAGTCAGCATCGAAGATGCCACGGTGCAGCAGTCTGGTGGGGGGTTTTGCGCATCTGATGAAGTTGTCATCGACGAGATGTCAAGCGTCGGCATTTTCAATTCAAGATCGAGACGAGGTGGAGGCTTCCATACCGACAGACGCTTGCAGGTGACCAACAGCTCAGCTGTCAGCCTTCAGAACGTGATTGCGCAGAAGTATGGAGGTGGTTTCAATGCCATTGAAGAGGTTGAGATAGCTGGGAATTCGACAGTCAAGATTTCCAACAGTCGAGCTGAAGCCAAAAATGGAGGAGGTTTTGACACTGAAAAGGGCTTGAAGGTCTCCAACGGCTCAAGACTCATCATTCGGAATGGGACAGCTGGAGGGTCTGGAGGAGGATTCTATGCCAAAGGCAGGGCCTTGATCAGCAGGTCCACAGTCAGCATCGAAAACGCCACGTCCCAGCAGCATGGTGGAGGTTTTGATGCACTTGACGAGGTTGTCATTGGTGAGATGTCAAGCGTCCGCATTTCCAGTTCAAGATCGGGATGGGGCGGAGGCTTCTATACGGACAGACGCTTGCAGGTGACCAAAAGCTCAGTCGTCAGTCTTGAGAATGTGACCGCTGGAAGTCATGGAGGAGGTTTCACTGCCCTTGGGGAGGTTGAGATAGCTGGCCACTCGACGGTCAACATTTCCAATAGTCACGCTGAATCAGGAAGTGGTGGAGGTTTTGGAACCCCAAAAGGTTTGCAGGTGTCCAACGGCTCAAGACTCATCATTCGGCATGCGACTGCTGGAAATTTTGGAGGAGGACTGTATGCTTTGAGCAAGATCGCGATCAGCAGGTCCACACTTAGCATTCAAGATGCAGCAGCCCAGGCGTTTGGTGGAGGTTTTTTAACACTTCAGGAGGTTGTCATTGATGAGATGTCAAGTCTGAGAATTTCTGATTCAAGATCGCAACAGGGTGGAGGCTTCCAATCGGAGGGACGCTTGCAGGTGACCAACAGCTCGGTTGTCAGCCTTCAGAATGTGACCGCATGAAATCACGGAGGAGGTTTCACTGGCTTTGGGGAGGTTGAGATAGCTGGCCACTCGACAGTCAACGTTTCCAATAGTCACGCTGAATCAGGACATGGTGGAGGTTTTCGCACTAGAAAGGGCCTGAAGGTATCCAACGGCTCAAGACTCATCATTCGGAATGCGACAGCTGGAAAGGATGGAGGAGGATTCTATGCCACAGGCAGGGCCTTGATCAGCAGGTCCGCAGTCAGCATCGAAGATGCCACGGTGCAGCAGTCTGGCGGAGGGTTTTTTGCACTTGACGTTGTCATTGAAGAGATGTCAAGCGTCCGCATCTCCACTTCAAGATCGATATGGGGCGGAGGCTTCTATACGTACAGACGCTTGCAGGTGACAAACAGCTCAGTTGTCAGCCTTCAGAACGTTGCTGCTCAGAATAATGGAGGAGGTTTCAATGCCCTTGGAAATGTTGAGATAGCCGGGAACTCCACGGTCAACATTTCCAACAGCCGCGCTGAATCAGGAAGTGGAGGAGGTCTTGGCACTGAAAAGGATTTGAAGGTGTTGACGGACTCAAGACTCATCATTCGGAATGGGACAGCTGGAGGGTCTGGAGGAGGATTCTATGCCAAAGGCAGGGCCTTGATCAGCAGGTCCACAGTCACCATCCAAAATGCCGCAGCCCAGGCGTATGGTGGAGGTTTTGATGCACTTGACGAGGTTGTCATCGGTGAGATGTCAAGTCTGAGAATTTCCAGTTCAAGATCGGAATGGGGCGGAGGCTTCTATACGGAAAGACGCTTGCAGGTGACCAACAGCTCAGTTGTGAGCCTTCAGAATGTGGCCGCTGGAAGTCAAGGAGGAGGTTTCCAAGCCCGTGGACAGGTTGAGATAGCTGGGAACTCAACGATCAAAATTTCCAATGCAAGATCGGGATCGAGTGGAGGCTTCCATACAGACGGACGCTTGCAGGTGACAAACAGCTCAGTTGTCAGCCTTCAGAACGTTGCTGCTCAGAATAATGGAGGAGGTTTCAATGCCCTTGGAAATGTTGAGATAGCCGGGAACTCCACGGTCAACATTTCCAACAGCCGCGCTGAATCAGGAAGTGGAGGAGGTCTTGGCACTGAAAAGGATTTGAAGGTGTTGACGGACTCAAGACTCATCATTCGGAATGGGACAGCTGGAGGGTCTGGAGGAGGATTCTATGCCAAAGGCAGGGCCTTGATCAGCAGGTCCACAGTCACCATCCAAAATGCCGCAGCCCAGGCGTATGGTGGAGGTTTTGATGCACTTGACGAGGTTGTTATCGGTGAGATGTCAAGCGTCCGCATTTCCAGTTCAAGATCGGAATGGGGTGGAGGCTTCCGAGCGAAGGGGCACTTGCAGGTGACCAACAGCTCAGTTGTGAGCCTTCAGAATGTGACCGCTGGAAGTCAAGGAGGAGGTTTCCAAGCCCGTGGACAGGTTGAGATAGCTGGGAACTCAACGATCAAAATTTCCAATGCAAGATCGGGATCGAGTGGAGGCTTCCATACAGACGGACGCTTGCAGGTGACAAACAGCTCAGTTGTCAGCCTTCAGAACGTTGCTGCTCAGAATAATGGAGGAGGTTTCAATGCCCTTGGAAATGTTGAGATAGCCGGGAACTCCACGGTCAACATTTCCAACAGCCGCGCTGAATCAGGAAGTGGAGGAGGTTTTGACACTGAAAAGGGCTTGGAGGTGTCCACTGGCTCAAGCCTAAGCATTTGGAATTCAACAGCTGGAAGCCATGGAGGAGGTTTTTATGTTCGAAGCAGAGTATTGATCAGTCATTCTACAATTAGCATCCAAGATGCTGCGGCCCGGCAGTTTGGTGGAGGATTTCTTGCAGGAGGCATTGCACTTGTCAATGCATCTACTGTGGCAATGTTCAGCGCCCATGCAGGACAAGAGGGTGGTGCTTTTTCCGTGTTTGGTTTGGCTTTGCACAGAAGTTCCGTATCCGTTAGCAACTCCACTGCAGTCGGATCAGGCTCTGCAGGACGTGTAGCTGGTCAAGTGCTCCTTTCGTCTCAGTCCAACTTGGTGGTGAAGAATGCCCAAGGTCTCGACAATTCCAGCGTGCTGGCTGCAACCTGCCTCCACCTACGCGGCCGGTCACACGTTCTTTTTGGAGGTGTCGTCGGCGGCCATGCGGTGGAACTGCAAAACAGTGGATGCTCTGCCGTTTGCTCAAACAGCACCTTCCATGTTGTAGAGGATGCAGCCCTCAACGCCAGTGGTCGATTGAGTTCGGGTCTTCTATCCCTTGCAGCCTGCCCGAAGGAGAAGGTACGTCTGTCAGGCATCCACCTGCACTCCTGGTCCAGCCCGTTGCTCAGCACCCGCCTAAGCTTTGTGGTGGTTGACCAAGTGAGTGTCGACTACGAGCCTGCGGTCAACAATTTGCAGGTCCTAGCTGCCAAGGACAGGCTCAGGCTCCGTGTTTTAGGCTGGAGAGCATCAGGATCAGACAGTGTCAGCAAGGCGATGTCTCGGTAGTTTCTACCTACCTACCTACCTACCTACCTACCGACCGACCTATCTATCTATCTATCTATCTACCTATCTATCTATCTATCTATCTATCATTATCTATCTCTATCTATCTATCTATCTATCTATCTAATGTATGTAATGTAATTCTATCTATCTAATGTATGTAATGTAATTCTATCTATCTAATGTATGTAATGTAATGTCATGTCATGCAATGCAGTGCAATGCGATGCGATGCGATGCGATGCAATGCAATGCAATGCATAAATGTATGTATGCATGGTATGTAATGTAATGTAATGTAATGTAATGTAATGTAATGTAGTGCTATGTTATGTTATGTTATGTTATGTATGTATGTATGTGTGGTATGTAATGTAATGTAATGTAATGTAATGTAATGTAGTGCTATGTTATGTTATGTTATGTATGTATGTATGTATGGTATGTGTGTGTGTATGTATGTATGTATGTATGTATGTATGTATGTATGTATGTATGTATGTATGTATGTATGTATGTATGTATGTATGTATGTATGTGTGTATGTATGTATGTATGTATTTATGTATGTATGTATGTATGTATGTATGTGTGTATGTATGTATGCATGCATGAATGTATGCATGTATGTACGTACGTACGTAATGTACGTATGTATGTATGTATGTATGTATGTATGCATGCATGCATGCATGCATGTATGTATGTATGTATGGTATGTATGGTATGTATGGTATGTATGGTATGTATGGTATGTGTATGTATGTATGGTATGCATGGTATGCATGGTATGCATGGTATGCATGGTATGCATGGTATGAACGCAATGAATGTAATGATTTTAATGTATGTAATGTATGTAATGTATGTAATGTATGTAATGTATGTAATGTTATGTCATGTCATGTCATGTCATGTCATGCCATGCCATGCCATGCCATGCAATGCAATGCATGAATGTATGTAATGTAATGTAATGTATCTAATGAATTTTAATGTAATGTAATGTAATGTAATGTAATGGTATGTATGTATGGTATGTATGTATGTATGTATGTATGTATGTATGTATGTATGTATGTATGTATGTATGTATGTATGTATGTATGTATGTATGTATGTATGTATGTATGGTATGTATGGTATGTATGGTATGTATGTATGTATGTATGGTATGTATGGTATGTATGGTATGTATGGTATGTATGGTATGTATGGTATGTATGGTATGTATGTATGTATGTATGTATGTATGTATGTATGTATGTATGTATGTATGTATGTATGTATGTATGTATGTATGGTATGTATGGTATGTATGGTATGTATGGTATGTATGGTATGTATGTATGTATGGTATGTATGGTATGTATGGTATGTATGGTATGTATGGTATGTATGGTATGTATGTATGTATGTATGTATGTATGGCATGTATGGTATGTATTGCATGTATGGTATGTATGGTATGTATGGTAAGTATGGTATGTATGGTATGTATGGTATGGTATGTATGTTATGTTATGTATGTTATGTTGTGTATGGTATGGTATGTATGGTATGTATGGTATGTATGGTATGTATGGTATGTATGGTATGTATGGTATGTATGGTATGTATGGTGTGTATGGTATGAATGTATTGCATGTAATGAATGTAATGTATCTAATGAATGTAATGAACGTAAAGGATGTAACGAATGTAATGAATGTAATGTATGTAATGTATGTAATGTATGTAATGTATGTAATGTATGTAATGTATGTAATGAATGGAATGTATGTAATGTATGAAATGTATGTAATGTATGTAATGTATGTAATGTAATGTCATGTCATGTGATGTCATGTAATGTAATGTAATGTAATGTGATGTAATGTAATGTAATGGTATGTATGTATGTATGTATGTATGGTATGGTATGGTATGGTATGGTATGTATGATATGTATGTATTGTATGTATGTATGTATGTTTTGTATGTATTGTGTGTATTGTATGTATTGTATGTATTGTATGGTATGGTATGGTATGGTATGTCATGGCATGGTATGTTTTGTATGTATTGTATGTATTGTATGTATTGTATGTATTGTATGTACTGTATGTATTGTATGTATTGTATTGTATTGTATTGTATTGTATTGTATTGTAGTGTGTTGTATTGTATTGTATTGTATGAATGTATGTATGTTATGTATGTTATGTATTGTATGTATTTTATGTATGGAATGTATGGAATGTATGGAATGTATGGAATGTATGTAATGTATGTAATGTATGTAATGTATGTAATGTATGTAATGTATGTAATGTATGTAAAGTTTGTAATGTATGTAATGAATGTAATGTATGTAATGAATGTAATGAATGTAATGAATGTAACGAATGTAATGTATGTAATGTATATTATATGTAATGAATGTAATGTATGTAATGTATGTAATGTATGTAATGTATGTAATGTATGTAATGTATGTAATGTATGTAATGTATGTAATGTATGTAATGTATGTAATGTATGTAATGTATGTAATGTATCTAATGAATGTAATGAACGTAAAGGATGTAACGAATGTAATGAATGTAATGTATGTAATGTATGTAATGTAATGTATGTAATGTAATGTAATGGTATGGTATGGTGTGGTGTGGTGTGGTATGGTATGGTATGGTGTGGTGTGGTATGTATGTATTGTATGGTATGGTATGTATGTATTGTATGTATTGTATGTATTGTATGTATTGTATGTCTTGTATGTATTGTATGTTTTGTATGTATTGTATGTCTTGTATGTCTTGTATGTATTGTATGTATTGTATGGTATGTATGTATGGTATGTATGTATGGTATGGTATGGTCTGGTGTGGTGTGGTGTGGTATGGTATGGTTTGGTATGGTATGGCATGGTGTGGTATGTATGTATTGTATGGTATTGTATGGTATGGTATGTATGTATTGTATGTATTGTATGTATTGTATGTATTGTATGTATTGTATGTATTGTATGTGTTGTATGTAATGTATGTAATGTATGTAATGTATGTAATGTATGTAATGTATGTACGTATGTACGTATGTACGTATGTACGTATGTACGTATGTACGTATGTACGTATGTACGTATGTACGTATGTATGTATGTATGTATGTACGCACGTACGTACGTACGTATGTATGTATGTATGTATGTATGGTATGTATGGTATGTATGGCATGTATGGCATGTATGGCATGTATTGTATGTATGGTATGTATGGTATGTATGGTATGTATGGTATGTATGTTATGTTATGTATGCTATGGTATGTATGCTATGGTATGTATGGTATGGTATGGTATGGTATGGTATGGTATGGTATGGTATTGTATGTATGTATGTATGTATGTATGTATGTATGTGTGTATGTATGTATGTATGTATGTATTTATGTATGTTATATATGTTATGTATGTTATGTATGGAATGTATGGAATGTATGGAATGTATGGAATGTATGGAATGTATGTAATGTATGTAATGTATGTAATGTATGTAATGAATGTAATGTATGTAATTTATGTCATTTATGTAATGAATGTAATGTATGTAATGAATGTAATGTATGTAATGTATGTAATGTATGTAATGTATGTAATGTATGTAATGAATGTAATGAATGTAATGAATGTAATGAATGTAATGAATGTAATGAATGTAATGAATGTAATGAATGTAATGAATGTAATGTATGTAATGTATGTAATGTATGTATGTATGTATTTATGATATGTTATGTTATGTTATGTATGCGTGTATGTGTGTATGTATGTATGCATGCA